CTTCTAAAGCCCGTGCCAGGGAGCCAGATGGCCGAACAATTATCACCCCCAAATTCAGCATGAGTGATGAACGTTTAACAGGTCACAATCCACACGCCAACCATAAAGCAATTAACGCACCAGCGGGCACCTCACCTCGATGCAGGGGGTGTCGTTAATTTTCCTAGGTATACAGTACCATATCGAGCGTATCCTCTAAATACTGCAAGTTTATGTGCTCTGCTATTGTCTCTGAGAATGGATACATGACGAAGTCCAAAACGTCAGACGGATAAAATTCTTGTCCCAGCGATCGCCTCTGCGTCTTCTCAGCTTTGGCCAAAACTGGATTTACATTATAGAGACAGTTAAATTATGGATTTCCGTATTTCCGTCTATTTGCATCTAAGATATCGTGCCAGAAATGGCAATACCGAATGCTTGTATGCCGCTGTATGGCGAGAGATATACCGGAAGCCTTGACTCATGGGTCGACAAGACTTCGTAGCAACTAGTTTAGACAATATCCTCCAAAATTTATAAGCAAATGGCTTGACCGTATTTTAACGTCGTTGTAGAACAATACTCGCGTAGGACAGGAAAGAACCAACAGCAGAAGAGAGTATTCGGAGAAAAATTTTTAAACTCAGCATATATGTTTTAAAGAAAAGCAGGACAACAAATAATGAACACGAGAATGCAGGTATCTATAAATCTCCAGGTTAGGAGTTCAAGTGCGTGTGCATGTGACAAGAACGTAAACGATGAATGTTGTGTTGTAAATCACCATACTAACAGCCCAGTTATTAGTTAGAAGGCCCAGACACGCGTTTTGCCAGTATTCTGCCGCTGCTTGATACAGCTGTGAGGGATTCGACTCATCATTGGGTTCCCCAGTCACCCCTGTTTACTTTCTGCTTGACGGGTGGTATAAACGAGTATATCAGGGGAAGTGAAAAGGGCGTCAATATGATGGGTTAAGGAGAGATTTGATGAGAGATGTACACCAATGTACCCACAAGAGGAGACCTCATCGGGAGGAGTATCTAAGGATTCAGGACTGTGAGGGAGTCACAGACAAAACACAGGCACACATTGGACTGACGTCTGAATATAATGCAGGAGATCATTTCCCAACGACAATGCTGAGGCATTATCGAAGCCATTCTTAAAAAACTGGAAATGAATCTGATTTTCAAGGGGGTGATCAACGTGCATATCGGCAGCGTACATTATATGCAGACAGTCATGTGGCGATCGAAAGTCATCAATATGACGAGATAAGATGGAACCGTGAAGAACTGCAA